TGGGCCCAAACAGCCAAAAATCTCCATTTTCCCCCTCATTTTAGGGCCAAAAGCAGGAAATCCGGATTTTTCACCTCAGTTTTTGGGCCCAAATGGCCCCAAATCCCAGTTCTCCTCCTCATTTTTGGGGCCAAAAGCAGGAAAATCCCCATTTTTCCCCTCAGTTTTGGGCCCAAATGCCCCAAAATCTTCATTTTCCCCCTCAGTTTTGGGCTCAAATGGCCCAAAATCCTCATTTTCCTCCTTATTTTGGGGCCAAAAGCAGGAAAATCCCCATTTTTCCCCTCAGTTTTGGGCCCAAATGCCCCAAAATCTTCATTTTCCCCCTCAGTTTTGGGCTCAAATGGCCCAAAATCCTCATTTTCCTCCTTATTTTGGGGCCAAAAGCAGGAAAATCCCCATTTTCCCCCCTCAGTTTTGGGTCCAAACGGCCTAAAATCCCGATTTTCCCGCCAATTTTGGGGCCCAGTTGGCTCAAAATCCCCATTTTTCACCTCAGTTGTGGGCCCAAATGGCCCAAAATCCCCATTTTCCCCCTCATTTTTTGGGCTCAAATGGCCCAAAATCCTCATTTTCCTCCTTATTTTGGGGCCAAAAGCAGGAAAATCCCCATTTTTCACCTCAGTTTTGGGCCCAAACAGCCAAAAATCCCCAATTTCCCCTCAGTTTTTGGGCTCAATTGGCCCAAAATCCCCATTTTCCCCCTCAGTTTTTGGGCCCAAATGGCCCAAAATCCCCATTTTCTTCCTCAGTTTTGGGCTCAAATGGCCCAAAATTCCCATTTTCTTCCTCATTTTGGGGCCAAAAGCAGGAAAATCCCCATTTTCCCCCCTCAGTTTTGGGTCCAAACGGCCTAAAATCCCGATTTTCCCGCCAATTTTGGGGCCCAGTTGGCTCAAAATCCCCATTTTTCACCTCAGTTGTGGGCCCAAATGGCCCAAAATCCCCATTTTCCCCCTCATTTTTTGGGCTCAAATGGCCCAAAATCCTCATTTTCCTCCTTATTTTGGGGCCAAAAGCAGGAAAATCCCCATTTTTCACCTCAGTTTTTGGGCCCAAACAGCCAAAAATCCCCAATTTCCCCTCAGTTTTTGGGCCCAATTGGCCCAAAATCCCCATTTTTCACCTCAGTTTTGGGGCCAAAAGCAGGAAAATCCCCATTTTTGCTTCATTTTTGGGGCAAAAAGGGGGAAAATTCCCTTTTTTACCTCACTTTTGAGGCCCAAATCGTCCCAAATCCCCGTTTCCCGCCTGGTTTTTGGGGCCAAAATGGCGCAAAATTCCCTTTTCCCCCCTCATTTTTGGGGCTAAAAAAGGGGAAAAAGGGATTTTTCCTGCTTATTTTGGGGCCAAAAGTACGAAAATCCCCATTTTTTTCACCTCAGTTTTGGGGCAAAATCAGGGAAATTCCCCTTTTTACCTCAGTTTTGGGCCCAAATCCCCTTTTCCCGCCCATTTT